CCCTTCCCTGCCCCCAAGACGGCCTTTTAAGCCGTCTGCTTAGGGGGGGTTGATAGCCATGGGTTCCTAGTCTCAGGCTTCAGAGTTCATACACAAAGCACCATCAAAGACAGTTGTTTGGTCTAAGGCCAATGGGAAACTGTAGATTTGCACACACCTGGTTCTTTGTTGGATTTTCCGGACAGTAGGACATTACATCATGTGAAGAACCAAGGCGCAGGAAATTTGGACCAATCACATTTTGCCACTTGACTATGGGAAGGAACTTTTTTCTATTCTATAAAAGTGTGTTAATGTACTGTGCCTTTAGATTCATCAAAGAAGTCAAGACCTGTCTGCGCTGTTTTCTTTTCTGCAATAAAGCTGTCCTTTTTGACTTAATGTCTGGGAGCTATCTTTATGTCTGAAAGAAGACTGGTGGGCATCCTGATTCTGACAGTTACAACCCCGGAGGAGTAGCTTGTTGCTATTGCAGCAACAAAATCAACAAAGAGTTTTGTAGCACATAATAAACATCACCACAAAATGTGTTGAAAGATGAAGGAGGCTACTTTTTAACACTTATTGGTGAAGTGACTTTGAAATTAGAATTGTAGCTTCTGTAAAAACCACTTGTTCTTGCCAGTTCTGTATCTTTCCCCAAATTTCACTTTGGTCTCTCACTACACCTTACATTTCAGTGCAGGGTCCCTAAATATTTCTTTGTTGGCAGTGGTCTTATCCAAAGGGATGTCAACAGAGTATCTAGTTGGCATTAAGTGATTGTAGATGTAGACTTTCAGAAATTACTTGATCATGAACTGTTTGGCAACTTTTTTCTTGTCCATGCTGGCTGTCACTTTGCAAAGGTAGCAATTAAATCCAGGCACCAGGGCTTGGTCATATGGGTGGTCAGATGTACCATCATCAATTTGCTTCAGAATAATGGCTTTGCATCCAGAATAATGTCCAGCCAGCAAAAGAACCACCTTCCCAGGTTTCATAAACTTCCCCATCTGGAAGCCATAACATTGATGGTATTTAAACAGAAAAAACATAAAATGTGCTGTAAGATTTTATGAAGCTAAGGTGCTGGGAGAAAACTGGGACTATTGTTGGGGTATGCAGACAAGTGGGATCTAGCATACACACATGCAGAGTTGATGCACATAGGCAGGAATGCCTAGAAGATGGTCTCTGTGAAGAGTCTTGCTCCAGACGGCACAGGAAAAATCCTCCCACACGCAGGCTGCTATTTTCACTTTGGAGAAATGAATCCTGGACAATGAGACTTCACTCAATGAGGGATTTAATCTTTGTTGCAAATATTTACAAAGATACATAAGAGTATTAGACATCCATCTTGAACACTCACAGCTATACAGACCAACGAAGTGCTTCACCAGCCACAACTAACCAACAACGGAGATTCTGACCCTCTCCCTTATATAGGTGGTCTTCCTGGGAACATGTGATAGCCATGAACTAATGAAACCGGGCTGGTTTCATCCCCAGTGCCTGTTGCATTAGACCTCCCATGATGCATACCTGGCTGGCCTCATCCACTATGCATATTGCATGAGACCTCCCATGATGCACAGTTTACCAAATGTTGATTCATGCACCTGCCACTTGAACTGTGGTAACCCTGTTCCAGTTCTTTTCAGTGGCCACATCCATATCATTCTCCAGACCAGGGTTCAACATGGTCTTGACAAATGTACCACAAGCCAGGAATTTCTTGTGACTTAATTTTAAATAATACACCTGTCACAGCCATAGGGCCTCAGCAGATGGCTAATTGAGCCATCTCCAAGACCAGGAAGAGGAGGAGCAGCCGCATGCGCGGCGCTCCTTCCTCTCCCTGAGGTCGTCCTCGGAGCCGCCGGCCCTCCGCATGGCTGGGGCTCCGGGGATGACCTCCCGGCGCAGCGACTGGATGTGCTGTGGTGGAAAAGACAGGGATAGTGCGCCCTACGCTTTTAGGGTGCACTTTCCCTGTCTTATGGAAGGAGCGCTGATTTAGCGCTCCTTCCAGGGTCACTGCAGGAGCGCCGCGGTGTGGCTGCCATGGCCCCACGGTGCTCTGGACCAGGGCATCCTGGATGTCCTGGTCTGCTGAGGGGGACAGTATGTTCATTTACTCCTCCATCTTTTCCACTTTTCAAACCTTCTTTTATGTTAAAAATATCTTTGTTGACAACTTCTGGTCCCACAGTGAAGGCGTGTGGATGTGTGTGAGTGGTGCTCCTCTCCCATCCTCCTAGGAGTGGCTGCTGAACTCTAATAGAGTTTGGAACCCAACACTCTGGGAAGAAGAGTTGGGGAATTGGGCCTTGTAAGAGGCTTATTT